GTGGCTTCACCATTGGAACCTTATAACAGGTCCAGCATGGCCGTGGACAGACGATTGGCTATTATATGGGATTTTTCCGGGTCTGAATGGTTCATATATTGAAGGGTGGGGCTATGTAGCTCTGGTCTGCAGAGGAGTTCTCCTACAAGAAATATGGAGGGCAAGGAACTCTGCAATTTTCAAGAGTACTAAAATCCCAGCACAAGAACAACAAAGCCAAGTTAAGAAGAATATAAGAAGCATGATTTTGGCTAACTGGCAGAAAGTGTCCCGGCGCATTAAAGGACTTATCTGGTTTCGAAAGACGTGGGCTAAAGATAATCAGCTTGCTACGGTTACACTGGATAATAAGCTGGTGCTCTCCCGGTGGCTAAGGCCTCCTTGAGTCCAGAGGTTATTTGGGGCCGATTGAGGCCTATTGGAAAATGTTTCAGAAGGGCTTGAGCTTTTGTTGAGCTCCCGAAAGCCCTATGGCGAGAAACAACCGATTCTCTTTTATTCTATGCCCAGTTAGGAATGGTTGACTATGATGCAGTCTGGGACGGGGATAGAAAGAGCTGGCTAGAATGGTAACACTCATTTAGCACTGGCCACTGGGTGGGAATAGTTATATTTTTCTTTTGGCCTAAGCTTTTTGACCTGAGCTTCAAGGATTGCTTTCTGAGAAGTAGAGATTAAAAAGTGAGGGGAATGGTCCTGGGACGTTGGACCCGGTTTCCAGCAGGGTGACGAACTATTTCCGGGTTGAATTGTGAGGTCCCCGGCCTCGACCATTTTCTCCTGCAATACAAAGTGATAACTTCTCAAAAAAAAAAAAAAAAAAAAAAAAAAAAAAAAATTTTTTTTAAATTTTTTTTTTTTTTTTTTTTTTTGGTGGAGAGTTATGGAACTCACTGCACCCCTAACCGCGGTGAGCGCTAGCCAACGACGCCAAGCATTACCGGATGATAATCTTTTGTTTTTTTTTTTTTTTTTTTTTTTTTTTTCCTGCCCAACTTGTCGCACGGTTCGACACTCGCCAAGCTGCCGCCCGTTTTGCTACCTCGCCTTGTGGGGCTGCCTACACGACTCAGTCGGACTCAACAACCACCAACTCCAACTTTCTAAGTGAGAACTCACCAGGCCTATCATCGGAACCGGGACCTCACCGAGCAGGAGCGAGCACACAGCTCCACATAGTCACCAAACTGCCCGAAGTTGTCCGTGTTGTTTATCTCCGGCCACAGTTGGCACCACTTTTGGGTCCGGGGGACCGGGTTGAGACTGGAGGTGGACCGGGTTGGGTCCAGCTACCACAAGTAGAGGCCGGCACGACATTGAACAGACTACCCGCACAAGACTCGGGGAGCAGAAGAAGGAAGGAGTTGACGAAATCAGTGGAGAATGACGAAATAGAGACTCCAAAACCGCATATGCAGTCTCACGACCCTCAGTGCCCCTCGCCCATGGAATTCAGCAGACGTGAATGAGAGATTATGGGACAGAGTTGACGACATCAGGCGTGAATGTCTGAAAAGGCGTGGTTCAAGCCTGTGAAACTCTTGTGGGAATTTTGTGTGTGTGTGTGTGTGTGTGTGTGTGTGTGTGTGTGTGTGTGTGTGTGTGTGTGTGTGTGTGAGAGAGAGAGAGAGAGAGAGAGAGA